TATATATATAATATATATATACATATATATATATATATATATATATATATATATATATATATACATATATATATATATATATATTACATACATATATATATACATATATATATATACATATATATACACACATACATATATATATACACATACATATATATATTACACATACATATATATATACATATATATACACACATACATATATATATACACACATACATATATATATACACACATATATATACACATACATATATATATAACACATACATATATATATATACACATACATTATATATATATATATATATATATTATATATATATATATATATATATATATATATATATATATATATATATATATATATATATATATATATAATATATATATATATATATATATATATATATATATATATATATATATATATATATATACTTGTGGAAAGGTATGAATGAGAACGAATATCTTCACAATACAAGAGATGTATTTGACCGGTTTCGATTATATCTTCGTCAGAAATACATGAAATACATTTCTGACGAAGATATAATCGAAACCGGTCAAATACATCTCTTGTATTGTGAAGATATTCGTTCTCATTCATACCTTTCCACATTTGTCCACATGAATACGGTTCATATATATACATATACATACATATATATACACATACATATATATATATATATATATATATATATATATATATATATATATATATATATATACATATACATATATAAATCAAATATATCATTTATCATATATGCATATCTATATATCTAAGAGTAGTACAACACGAACTACTCAAATAATCTGGAATATGTGTTCAATATGCTGCAAAATACGATGATTTCTGTTATCACACTGACATTAAAGGCAATGAATTTGTTAGTAAACATGAAGTAGCCTCGTCACCAAGCATCAGAGAAGGGCAAAAATGCACATACATACACTCTGCACTGGCTGTTCCCTAGAGAATGCGCCTCAATTTCCGATCTGTTATTACTGTTTGTACCGTCTATTATGCTGATCTGCTGATTACTCTGAAACTTACTGAAAAGGCTGATAAAGAGCACTTACTTTAAAGGCCTTAATGTTATCAACACTGAAAGTCTTTTCGCATGGAACATTAACTTCAGAAAATGTCTTTCTTGACACTAAACTATCTTTCCACCAAACTTTTTATCCACCATGCATATGAGTCTCTACATACAAATAAATCTATGTATAAATGACAGTATCCAAGAGAACTGACAAAAACATTTTTTCTTCTTCTAAACATTAAAAAGGTACAAGCAATCCCATGCACCATAAAAGATATCTTATACAACAGACAGGGATTGAGAGAAAGAGAAGGAAAGAGAAGGGAAGGGAAATAAAAGCATAAAAAAGAGAGAAATGAGAACAGATAAGAGAGAAAAGAGAAGAGAGAAAAATGAGAAAAGAGAGAGAGAAAGGAAACTTCAAAGGATGAAGACAAAAAGAGAGACATATGATTGATAAGCGCACAAAGACCAAGGAATGAGTTTTCTCTTGCCCAATCTGAACTGTTGACAATGCCTGTACAATTCATCAAAACTTTCACAAGAGAAATGGGATCCACACAGCCTGGGTCATGAGGGCTAGAGACGCTAGCTCGATTCCCTTACTTTGTCTGAATTCATACCTGGGCTCCATTAATAGATGGTATTAAATATTGTACACTGAATATTGCAACCCATGCAACATCAAAATTAAGAGCTATGTTATAATATATTCAATAAGAGTTAAAATACAATAAAAATTTTAGTACTACATATCAGAATGTTTAATGACTGGAAGGAAAGACATTATTATACACAGAGGTATGCCAAGGTAACAACAATTGCACCATTTTTGTCTTATATGTGTTTGTGTGCAAATATGTCTTGTGTCTTGTGTGTATATGCAAGTCTTGTACGCATACTTTGTGAGGGTGTCTTGTGTGAATATGACAATTATGGGTATGATGTGTGCATGCAGCAGGAAAAGTATTTAACTAACAGAACTGTTACACTGCACAACCAAGCAACACATAATTATGCCAAATAGTTTTAGCAGTATGGCAGACAATAAATCTCAAGAATTAGATATAAAGTTGACATCATATCAACATCAAAATATCTATAATCACAAAGAGGGCAGTGGAATTTACCATTCACAAAACTTATCATTATGGTTAAGAGTTGGTAGCTAATTGTTTCCACATGTAAGCCTAAGTCACTTGGTATAAATATACAACTCAATATGTATATATGCATTATCATATCATGTTCTATTCTGAACACACGTAAGCTAAGCTGAACATTTATAGCACCGTATCAAAGGACATCATTCTTTACATTTCTTAGGAAAATCTAAAGGAATATGGACATCTTTTCTCTTCTTTTATTCAAAAGGAACCTAATTTTTCTTCTCTTCTATCCCTAATACTGCTGCTTCTTTCTTGTATTCAAAATTCCATAAAAAAAATCTGGAAGCATCATGACAGACAGAAAGCTTAAGATTTACAATGCGCATATATCTACAGAGACTACATGTCATGTGAACTTTCTATCTTGTTTCTAGCAAAAGTTGTAAAGAGCCATTTCAACTTAATATCACTTATACCCAAGCCTAATTGTGTTTCCACATGCTGGCACTCAGAAAATAACAGTCTTAGAATGAAGAGGAGAAATAAAAGGAAAAGACATGAGAGAGATACGAATATATGATGGAAGATACGCCAAAAAGTGTCCTCGGCCCAACTGCCCAAAAACACTTTTATTACACGTTTTAATAGTTTAGACTTTCATCTATAAAAAAAGTATTGGTATTTTCACATTCATGCAATCTTATCTCATAATTGTATTGCACTGAGATGAACATATTGATGCTTAAGTTATAGATGAAAGTTTAAATGAACGCCAAATCTAATAAACCCATATTTCAGGCAACTGTTCTAAGAACACCTTAGGACATACAAACCCTCATAACAAGTCCCTGAATTTACCCCAACATACATAGAGTATGACTACCTTTGTACTTGTGTGGCTTGTTATTCTGAACAAGGCAGGGGGTAGGAAAGGCAGACCAGGGTGAGAAAAGGAGGGTGAGAGGAGGAAGGGGGAGGATGGTTGGAGGAGGAGGGGGCTCTTATATACAGGTATTCATTTTTGGATGTGACCCATGGCTTGGCTTCGGTTATTATTGGAGTACACATGGGAACCATGTGGCTTGGTCTTGTATACATGCCATAGGGAGAGGGAGAGGGAGAGGGAGAGGGAGGGAGAGAGAGAGAGAGAGAGAGAAAGAGAAAGAGAGAAAGAGAAAGAGAAAGAGAAAGAGAAAGAGAAAGAGAAAGAGAAAGAGAAAGAGAGAGAGAGAGAGAGAGAGAGAGAGAGAGGAGAGAGAGAGAGAGAGGAGAGAGAGAGAGAGAGAGAGAGAGAGAGAGAGAGAGAGAGAGAGAGAGGGGGGGGGGGGGGGGGACAGGGGAAGTGAGGGAGGGAGGAAGGGTGGGAGGGAGGTGAGTATAAAAGGTTGTAAACCTCCTATATAAGGACTGGTGGGAAGAGATAGTATTGAAATGTAAATGGCTTGACTTTATTTGTGAGAGAGTAAGCACAAGTAGAATGATGACATGATACAAGACATTGGGACTGTGCTTGAGCAGTGTCGCAGCCAGCCATCCGTACTCTTATACACGGGTATTTGTATTCTTTTCCAGCTGTGACCCATGGCTTGGCTTGGGTTATTATTGGAGTACTTATGGGAATCACGTAGCTCGGTCTTGGATACATGCCATAGGGAGAGAGAGAGAGGGGGACAGTGGTAGGAAGGGAGGGAGGGAGGAATGGAGAGAGAAAGAGAGAGAGAGATACTTAAATTCTAGAAACTTAGCAGAGAGCATGCTTGAGAATAATAAAAATAATAAAAAAGAAAACTGGATGCATTTGCGAACAAATATATTCTCATTAGAATCTCACTTTAATAACAATCTTATTTACAGTGAAAATTAAGTGCTTCAATAATATTAGTACTTCTATACAAAGCATACATCTATGTACAGTGAACATATACCACTTGCTATAAACATACAAGTGCAAAACATAATATTTGCATTCACAACACATTTTTGCATGAAATGTTTATAGGTCTATATACTAATATATAATTGTAGCTTGGTGATTTATGCTTTATGGTATGCATCTACATTGCACGACATTCAAATATATAAATATTTTTATTCATATGCAATCTAAATCAGCTTGTACCAAGTCAAACCATTGGTAAATTCATAAAATACCTATTATTCAATATTTCCTTATCTGAATAAAAGATCTTTAGAAAAATGTAACATAAGAAAAATATATACTTTTGATATGTAAAATTATATGGCATTGTTTGTAACAAAAGAAATACTAACAAACAATAAAACTTAAATCTATAGATAATATCAAAACAATAAAATTGTCACAACAATAAATGTTACAAATATAAATATATATATACTTAGAGCTTGTTAGGCTGCAGCTCGAGCAGTCATGATCAAAAATATTTCGGTAAACAATCCAAACACATCCTAAACACAAAGACTATAAAATGAGGGAGGGAGAGGGAGAGGGGAGAGAGGGGGGAGAGAGAGAGAGGGAGGGGAGGGAGAGAGGAGAGAGAGAGAGAGAGAGAGAGAGAGAGAGAGAGAGAGAGAGAGAGAGAGAGAGAGAGAGAGAGAGAGAGAGAGAGAGAGAGAGAGAGAGAGAGAGAGAGAGAGAGAGGGGGGGGGGCAGAGAGAAAGAGAGAGGGGAGAAGAGAGTAAAGAGAGGGGAGGGAAGAGAGAGAGTGAGAGAGAGAGAGACACTATGTGCATGGAATTACCAGCATAAATATGTCACAATAGGCATACATTCTAATTGCAATGACAGCGTATGTCTTCTATGTTCATCAAAATGTGACATAAAAATCTTAGCAATGGGACAATAATATACATTAGGTATTTACAGCTAATATCTTTGTAAATATCTTTGCTACAAATAACTGTACATACACCATGACTAAGCATATGTTCTTCCATATAAAACATATTTCATGTTTTATAAAGAAAGAAAGAAGGGAGAAAAAAATAAATAAATAAAAAAAATGATCATAAAAATATTAATTCCTCTGTGAATTTGGAGCTGGTGCGTTCTGTGGCATTCGAGGTTCGCACTCAAACATGCAACTTAAATGACGTCCGTGACTGGCACATTGACTTCCACCTTGGGAGGCTGTGGCTTAATGTAATTTGCCTTCATGTACGAGAGCACCTGGTCTGGGACTTCCGCCAACACCTCCCTAGCCAGCATCAACCTAGAAATGTGTGGATCCCAGTTCCCTTTGAGGAAGTCCCTAAAGGGCACAAACTGAACAATGTCGCGGGCAGCATACCGACCATTGCTGGAGAGGCGGACCACATCTCCATCCAGCTCCTCCATGGCCTCAAAGTCGGCACCCCCCACACCCACAATGATGATGGACAGGGGAAGGTTTGAAGCATTCACGATTGCCTGAAAATAAAAATAGAATATATAGAAAATCACACAGAGGTTATATGTATATCTGCGTATTGTGCATATGTGCATGTGTGCCTGTGTGCAAGTGTTCATGTTTGTGTGCGTGTGCGTGTGTGCATGTGTTTATACTTATGTGTTGGAGTGGGTGGGTGTGTACATGTAAATATATATTATATATATATATATATATATATAATATATATATATATATATATATATATATATATTATATATATATATATATATATGTATGTATGTATGTATGTATGTATGTATATGTATGTATGTATGTATGTATGTATGTAGTATGTATGTATGTATGTATGTATGTATGTATGTATGTATTATATATATATATTATATATATATATATATAATATATTTAATATATATATATATATATATTATATATATATATATATATATATATATAAACATATATACATGCATACATGCATACATACAAATATGCAAACATACATACATACATACATACATACATACAAACATACATATTTACATACATATATACACAAAAATATACATATTCACAACCATATTCTAAAGTAGTAGAAAATCTACTCTGTATGTGTAACATAAAAATTTAGCATACACAGTTAGGGGTGGTTCACAGTTTTCAATATTTTCACAACTGCACAATACATCCAATTTTTGGATACCCACTCTTCCCCTAAAAAAGTGTACAAGAAAATGTTGATGTTCATGAACGTTACTTTATTCCTGTCACCTTTGTATCAAGTATCTCAGAATGCTGAATAAAAGGATAAAAAATATATATATTACTGTTTACTCTTATGCGGGAGGAAACAAAAAAAGTGCCCATATGCTCGAAGATTTAGAACCAGACTATTGTACATTTTCATGCAATATGTACAATCCTCTGGTTTCTGATTCATTTGACACAGAGGCAGTTTCTGCATGTGCAAGAACAGTGTTAGGTGAATTATACAGCATGTATCTTAAAAAATACAATCAACAATTTTCTTATTTTGAAAAGCATACACCAATCAATCCCCTCCACCCCAGTGTACAGTTTGAATGCTTGTAAAAATATTGAAAACTGTGAACCCCCCCCTTAATAGATACTACATCTGGATCTCTGTTGTATTTGGACTGATCATTGCCACAAACATGCTACCCTTCAAAGGTGAAGAGCAATACTGTTTCCTAAAGACTCACCTCCTTTGTCTGCGGCATGTCCGTGATGATGCCATCCGTCAGTATTAAAAGAATGAAGTACTTGTCTCCGCCTTTATTAGCTGAAGCAAACCTGGCTACGTGGTTGATGATAGGGGCAAAATTTGTGGGTCCGTATAGTTGAACTCGATTCAGGCAGCCGTAGTACGCCTCAATAACTCCTACAATGATGGAAAGAGATAGAGAAAGAAATAAGGAGGGAGGGAGGGAGGCGAGGAGGGGAGGGAGGGAGAGGAGGGAGGGAGGGAGGGAGGGAGGGAGAGGAGGGAGGGAGGGGAGGAGGGAGGGAGGGAGGGAGGGGGAGGGGGGAGGGAGGGAGGTGGGAGGGAAGAGAGAGGGAGAGAGAGAGAGAGAGAGAGAGAGAGAGAGAGAGAGAGAGAGAGAGAGGAGAGAGAGAGAGGAGAGAGAGGAGAGAGAGAGAGAGAGAGAGAGAGAGAGAGAGAGAGAGAGAGAGAGGAGGGGAGAGGGAGGGGGAGGGAGAGGGAGAGGGAGAGAGGGAGAGGGGAGGGAGAGGAGAGAGAGAGAGAGAGAGAGAGAGAGGAGAGAGAGAGAGAGAGAGAGAGAGAGAGAGAGAGAGAGAGAGAGAGAGAGAGAGAGAGAGAGAGAGAGAGAGAGAGAATTATAATTCTATATTATAAATAGTATATTACAAGCCCTGTTGGAACTTTGTCTATGTTAAATAGCAATACCTACAATCAATTTCACTACTGTGGAACTTCAAACAATATTTAATAAATATCATGACTTAAGAGCATAAACAAAAATATATTACACTATTATAAAAATAACCTTTACAAAAGTATAGTTCAAAATTAGAGTTTATGTGTACAATCTTAATAACTCAGTACCTACCTCCAACTCTGTAGCAGAAGGGATTTGATGCATCTCCATTCACGAAGAACTCATGCGACACCTGGTCAAATGTGGGGGGCATACGGGCCCCAAATCCCAAGACAGGGAAATATTTGTCTGTGTCATAGTCCTCGATGATTTCACCCACTGACTGGATGGCCCTGACATACTGATTGGGGCTTGAAGGGTTGATGAAGTGGAGGGACTGTGTCGACTGTGGGTTACCATTTGATGCTGTTGGGGATTTGGAAAGTCTCAATAATAAAGTCTTGATATGTGTTTAAAATAGAAGAAACTGTTAATTTGAAAGGAGAGTAGGAGGGAGAAGGAGAGGGAGAGAAGGAGAGAGAGGGGAAGTAGAAGAGGGAGAGAAGGAGAGAGAGAGGGTAAGTAGAAGAGGGAGAGAAAGTGAGCTACAGTTGCTCAAAGCATCAATTCTAGGAGCCACAAGTTTGCAAAAAAGGATTAACAATTTGTTCAGAGCAGGGTTTCAGAACAGGTGGTCTTGGTTTGCTAGGAAGCAAGCAGGAGAGTGATTAACATTTTGACTTCTAAATATCATATCAGTTTCCCTCTCTTGGGATTTGGGGCCCGTATGCCCCCCATATTTGGTATTAAGAGTTATAAGTTATGAATAGTGAAAAAAATAAATTGGTCCAACCATCAAAAAAATTTGATCTTTTGGATTCTTGAATAACATCTTTATCAAAACCCTACACTCTTTGGTCTTCTTAAAGACACAAACAGCATCAACACATCTTTTTTAGCATCTATGCAGCTGTCTCAACTTTCAAAAACTTAAATGAACTTCACTTAAAATAGCTTAAGCAATGGCTAATTCTCCTCTTTCTTTACAGAAAATAAAAAAAAACTGAAGCAAAACATTCATAACATTTATAACCAACAAAGATAAAAGACAATGTCCTCTTTAAAAATCATGTTTCCCAGAACCTTTCAATCTTAACCCATTCATGACATATGACATTTTATCAAATCATGGCATACCAGGCCCTAGAGCTGGAGGACAAGTACCTGTAGCATGATTGACAAGGAAGCTCTTAGATACTTGCACCAAACAGTTATTATCCACTTGTCTGGCTCTAAAAACGTCTGAAGACCCTTTCTAGCCTCATTTTCAAAATTAAACTATGTGGGTTACAGCCAAAAGCACAACAAGAGGGGTAAATTTTGCAGTCATACCTGTGAAGTCGATGCCAATGAAAGCGTTGATCTCCATGCCACCCTTGAGGAAATCAATAAAGGAGAATACTTCTCGAATGTATGATTTGTTGACATACATTGTTCCAGAGCCTTTGTAGCTGCTTCCCTTCTGTCTCTGTTAATTAACAAAAAATCATTTTTAACTAATATCAAACAGATTTTCTATTTTTGCTTTTTCCTTTGCATATTTTCATGAAAGCTTTCTGACTGGAAACACCCTTAAAGATCCTAAATAGAAGTGTTAATTCAACCATACAAGCAGGAAGTCACATATTTATCCATTGCTATAGTACAACAAATGTAGCATTACCATGATAACAATATATGAGCAATATCACAGTAAATCTTTATACTAGCAACGTTCATAATGCCCAAAGTTAGAGATCAAAACAACACTGTTTTTTTGTTCTCCTCAATTTCATGCCACCTAGTGGCATATAAGTACATGCCATGGCTGTTGTAGACAAAGTAACAGATAACATTTTATCATGACCATCCTACGCTGTCTGCTCTTCGGCGGAGCTCACTTTTCTCTGATAAGTGTCATCATTTCTATGGTAAAACTTTTAGGCAATAGTACTTAGATAAATGCTAACCCTTCAAAATTTTTACATCTTTAAAAACTATATCAAAATACAAGCCTTTAGGTGTTTAATGTTGCCTGCAAACTACTGAACGAGCCAGGAGCAAACAGGGGAAACTGTCGATGCATGCCAACAAGCTTGTCATCATGTCCACTTTGCAAATTTTTTTACCCGGTGTTAATGAGTTAATTTAGAACAATATATTCATTCAATAATCAACTCTAGAGATATACAAAGACTATTTGCTAATTTCATGTTTTCTTGACATTAACCCCAATGATCTGGATGACATGACCATCATATCATAAAAAAATCTGGCTTGGAGGGGAGGTGACATGAACATACAGTCCTCTGAAAATTTAGGTGTGGCTCACAAACTTGCCATCATGAGCACTTTGGCCTGTAATAACTTGCCATCGGTGCACAAAGTTCTTGGTGGGTGATTAGACTCATCTGGCATTTAGGAAGGGCTTTTGCATTATTTCCATCTATCTAGAAAAACCATGAAATGTACTGTCCATGAGCCATGACTAAAAGAGCTCCAGGGAGGACACTACTTCCATACTCAGGATCCTATTCCTGGATGCCGAAACTGGCAGTAGAAGTTGTATTACAGAAAATTGAGTAATATGTATTTCTTTTTTAAATGACACAAATAACAAAACATTACTTATCGTTATCATCACTGCACTGAATTATGGACTATCTAGAGAGATGATATAGGATCTGCGCAAGGAAAATAGTCTATTACCATCTGGATGAAGCAAATTAGATATCAAATGTAGACATTGGAAAATGCCAAAATAGCTGAATAAGCTAACATAGAAAATGAGAAAATAACATTTCAAAGGGGACACAAGGAGTCTTGTCACTGCCCACAAGTGTTTGCATGTGCCTGGCCTACAAACCACACCCACCAGAGTGACTGTCCAAGTAAGCCTAATGCCCATATTTTAGGCTAATTGATAGCACAATAAAAAAATAAAAATAAAATAAAACTTGAAAATCAGGAAAAACAGTAAAAAGAGACATAGGAAATAATTGATAATCAATCAATAATTAAAAATGATTCATATTAACAACCTAAAATTACAACAATCACACCTATGAATGTCATCCACAGCTATTGGGTTAATTGTTAGACACCCAAGATATAAAGGAAAATTTTGTTACATCTACATCTCTGATTATTAGGGCAATTAGCTGTAAGTCTCTTACCTGTCTCTCTTCATGGATAAGTGTGTAGGTGTTACTTTCCACTGGTCCTTCCCTGAGCTTACGAACTGTAGTGTAACATTTCCCAATGAGCTTGTGGCTGCCTGACGATTTGAAATTCTTGCAGATAACTTGGATGTTACGGTCATAATCTCCACTGCAAAGGGTGCTCAGTGGAATTGAAAATTCCTTCCAGGTTGGATGCTTGGTGCTCTTGACTGTCTCTGAGCGGTGGACCAAGGTGTACGAACCATCCTCGTTGGCCTTGTAGAACTCCAGGAAAGGGTCGAGAGCACAAAACCAGCTGCGGTTTTCCAGGTTTTTTGCCATCAGTTGCAGATGCAGCTCTTCTTTGCAAGAGTTGACCTCTTCTGTCACAATGATAATAGAGCCATTGTTGCTACTACTATACTGCTCATTTCGGAGTGGCTTTTCCACCTTCTGTGAGGCCACTAGGAAGCCTAAGGTGCACTCAAAATCCCCAAGGAAGTCATGGTCCTCAAGGTTGGTGGAGCCTGAGTCAATGTCAAAAAGACTGAACTTGAGGTGCTGCTGCTCCTCAAAATGGTATGTGAGGGGGATCTTGGTGGCAAAGTCCGGATCGAGTGTGTTGTCTATACATTCTGTTCGCTTCAGCTCAACCCAGTCCCTTGACCCAAATGGCTGGTGGAACACAATGCAAATTGGATCTGATTTGGAGAACACATCTGTATCTCGTAGATTCCTGTTCCAAGAAATAAGGCAAGTTTTAAAATGAAGCTAACTCTGAAAGGGATTTCTTTTCTTCCCATTTAAAATACTACTACTACATCTGTACTAGTTTTGCATGAAATCATTTAGAAACAAGACCTTACTTTATGAGGAAAAATAAAAACAAAATCACTTTATTTCATCATTATGTGCATCCATGACTTCAGTAAATTTGTGAATAGAATACATATCACATAACCAGTGAGACTTCCAGTAAAATGAGAAAAGTGGTAAAGAAAGAAAGAGAGAAAAAAAAAACACAGGAAATTAAAAAAAAAAAAAGATATTCTGCACATGCTCTTTGCTCTCATGAAATCAAGCTGAGAATGCACATTCTTTGAAGCATTATGCTATGTATAAATTTTGTTCAACAAATTCAGTCACTCATCATTTCATTATCACTATGCAGCAAAACATTTTTTTCTAGCAATATATGAAATGATACCACAATATTTGTCATGCATTAAGAGAAATTCACTTTCGTTCATTATAATTTTTGTCACTACTTGTCTAGCTATGCATGTGCAACTGTTCTCGAGAAACTTTAATTTCTAAAACACACTACTTATTGTTGAACTATATGTTATAAATCTGTAATAACATGAAAGAAATTAAATTACTTGAACAATTACAAGATGGTACTCTATGAAAACTTTTATGAATATGTAATCAAGTCAAATAAAACAAATGACAATACTATAAGCCTAATTCTGTACTCGCCCTCTACCCTTCCTCATGAACGCCTTCTGTGAGTTTCACTAAAAGCCAAGTTTCCTCCTGAGGGAAAAAATGTTCATATCCCAGTAGCTTTTAATAGCAGAGGACTCTTTCTATGCTTTATTTAGAACTTACTAAAATACTAAAATAGTTCTAACTAAGTCCTTGGCTGAACTATCTCTTCCTGATCTCAGGAAAACTTTTGATATACCTGTTTCTTTATCAAAAAATGGTCTAGAAATGTTTTCATGCACTGACCTTTATGTAAATGATACCTACTTCAAATGCTAAT